CTGATACCAAAAAGATAAAACTGCCAAAGGTTGGTTTGCCAGGAGGCTTTGCAGCTGCTTTCCATCATCATGTCTGGAGGAGCTGTGCAGCGGGGCAGGATTGCTGCTGTGCAGAGGTGCAGCCCAACCTGAACTATCCCATGACACCACATGTCCCATGGTTACAAAACGCTCACGGTGCGATTCATACAAAAACTTTCTCCTGAATACTGGTACTGTCTTGTCCAGGTTGGTCTCCAGAGGTGGTAGAGCTGTGCAAGAAGTATCAAAACAACTCCGTGGTGGCCATAGACCTGGCTGGGGATGAGATGCTGAAGGCTTCTTCTGATCATAAGAAGGCTTACGAGGTTTGTGGAATAAGCTTCTTTAAAACAACGATAAAACACCCACAGGGTTATTCCTGGCTGAGGGACATGCAGCACTTTATTCAGACCACAAACAACTGGGAGAGCTTAAAAATTAATTGCAGCTGTTAAAAATATTTTGTTTAGCAGTGGCACTGTTCCCATGTTGATATCCCAGTGGCTCTCAGCAGATGGGGGGCTGGAGCTCAGTGAAACAGCTGGGCTGCCATCACTGCCTGCCCCTGCCCCGAAGCTTTAAGTGCCCATGGGATGGAAAATCCTGCTGCTGGTGGTGTTACCACTGACATTCTGTGAGCCTGTGGTTACCAGCCTCGGGGCTGTGCACATGGGACCTTCCCTCAGGGTCAGACCCAAGCGTTGCCTCCCTCGCCTTGCAGGAAGCAGAGCGATGCGGCATCCATCGCACCGTCCACGCTGGGGAAGCCGGGCCGGCTGCCATGATCAAGGAGGTAGGAGGGGTGCAGGGTGGAAGCCCCATGGCTGGCCCCATAGGAAGCCCAAGTGGTTTCCATGCTGGCGTTGCCATGCTCGCGGGCTGCAGCTGCTCTCCCTGCTCCCCAGGCCGTGTACCTCCTGAAGGCTGAGCGCATCGGCCACGGCTACCACGTGCTGGAGGACCCCGAGCTGTACAGGGAGCTGCTGAAAACCAGAATGCACTTTGAGGTGAGGCCTCGGTGCTGCAGAGTGGGAGGTGGGAGTGCCTGGGCAAGGCCCTGCGCTGCTTTGCCTGCACGCAGCTATCTGCCCGCGCAGTTGCAGTTCAGGTCTGCATGGCTGATCCTGTTTTATTGTCTTGAACTCCCACAACCAGGTCTGCCCCTGGTCCAGCTATCTGACTGGAGCATGTCTTCCGGACTTCAGGAAACACCCAGTAGTACAGTAAGGCTTACAAATAATGCATAATCTTAAAGTCCCCACCCAGTTGTGACTGCTTCTAGTGCTGCACTGCAGCAAGGCTCTTCCTGCTGTTCTGAACCGATTCCCTTACAGGTTTAAGAAGGATCAAGCTAATTATTCTATCAACACCGATGACCCCCTCATCTTCAATTCCACCATTGACAAGGATTACAGTATAATGAAGGAGTACATGGACTTCACTGAGGAGGATTTCAAGAGAGTGGTGAGTTGACCTCGACTGATGCTCTGCAGGAGTCCTGGTGAAGCCCAGAGACATCAGCTTTTTTTTTCTTCATAAACCAAGAGTTTTCAATGGAAAATCCTGCAGGGCTTCATGCAGCATGGAAGCTGGAGGCATCGCATGGATGATGCTTTGGGCTGTGTTTGGTGGCAATAGTCCAGGAAGGTCTGCCAAGCAGGTCTGAGCAGTAGGAAGGAAGGGACCTTTTGCTTTTTTACAACAGTTTGGAATTGTAGGGAGGTTATTTCAAAGCCTGCCCGAAAAGTTACTAAGATTCAGCATCCACAAAAGTGCTTGCAGTTTTTGCACTTGCAAACTAAACAGAAAAAAAAATGACTCCTGGTTTGGTGTGCAGTCACTTGTGTCTTATAACCAGAAAACTGTTTTTTTTCATTGATTTTTTCCAATTACTTCCCCGAGGTAGAAAGACAGGTAGGTGTTGGGAGTCTGGCTTATCTGCATATCAAAGGGAGCTATGCTTATGACTCCCACCTCCTGTCTGCAAGGATATTTGCTTGGAAGCAGGAAATCCAGGGTGCACTGAAGGGCAGCTTGGAGCTGGGGTCCCTGGATGCCAGCTGTCCTTTCCTGCCCTTGCAGAAGCCAAACAAAAGAAACATCCCTGCATGAGGCTGGCCAGCAGGTGACATTGTGCAGCCAGGCTGTCACACAGCATGCATCAAGCTGCCACCACCAGCTGGGCTGGCACAAAGAGAAGCCGTAGTGTAGGATACGCTCTTTAGACCTGTTCCTACAAACTCCAGAGTATTTAAGGACCCCCTCCTTGTGCCTGCTGCATTCCTCTTGGGATTGCTGCTAGTGGGAGAGACAGAGCAGCTGCCCTGGGAAATGAGTCTGTGGAAATGCATCTTGGAGTAGAAGCTTCACCTTCCCTCAGCCTGGTTGGAGATATTAGGATATGTACAACCACATCTCTGGTGTGTCTTAACATCTCCCTTCTGTTCTCCATCTGCCTTCCCAGAACATCAATGCAGCTCAGTCCAGCTTCTTACCTGAGAAAGAAAAGCAGGAGCTTCTTAATACGCTGTATGAAGCCTATGGGATGGTGCCTGCCACCTCGTGATGCCTCCTGAGAGCCAGCATGGAGCACTGGCCCCTTCCTCGTGTGTGCTTGGCTCTGCTCTGCTGGGGAGCAGCAGGAGGAGGTGCCAGGGGTCAGTGTCCTCTATTGGCACCCAGTGTTAACCCTTACAGCACCAAGCACAATCAGGCTCCTATCATACACACCCACATATCACCTCCATGAACTGTCTCCCAAATGGACATCCAGCTTCCTCTTGCTGTTGAGCATGCAGACTCAAACTCCTCTCTTCCTCTGCTGCTTCTGCCCAGTCAATGAGAGCAGAAGGAGGTCCCCTGCCATGCCTTAACCCTTTTCTGCAGTACAGGAATAACCACTCCTGCCTGTGACTGTGGCCAGGATTAATCTTCACCTTTCTTGGGAAAAGGTGTGCCACAGAGGAAGCATGCGAGCACTTTGGAAGCAGAGGATTTCTTCCCACTCATGCAGATAGGGAGGTTTGGCTACAGCGAGGTTTACCTGTGGTTAGGCTTGTGCTAACAAGAATAGGACAAGAACAAGCTGGGAACTGGTGCACAAGTCTGAAGGTTTTCTGGTGGTTTTTTTGTTGTTGTTTTTTAAGAAAGCCTTTTTGTCATCCTCTCTCAGCCAAGGAGTTCTGTGTCTCAGGCCTTACAGTGTCTGCCACAGAAGCGCACACCTTGTGCTCCAGCTGTGCTCATACTTGCATAGGAAGTTGGAACACTTTCACCATTTTGGGCCAAAATCTGCCTTCTGGGATTTTCCCCAGTTGTGTACTCACCCTGGGGAATTCCTGTGAACTACATTTTGCTCTTCTTGTATCTTTGTTTAGAACCTTACAAAAATTGTGCTTGATTGCCTGCGTTAGCCATTCTGTGCTCTTTCTGACTTGCCGTAATCTTTAGGCACTGTTAAAACTCAATGAGTAAATGGATAAGCTTGGGCCCAATACCAAATACTGTCTCAGGTTCTATCTGAATTGCTTCTCTCATTTCACCACAGCACTGGCTAGAAGTCAGATCTTCATTTTGGTGGAGAATTTACAAGGAAATATGCACCAAAATTCCTAAGCCATTTTACATTACATTACAGTATTCTTTGCTAATATGCAATAGAGCCATGCGTCCAGAGGAGAGACCATAATTTTCCAACAGTCAGCATCTTGATGCACCTGAGGAGGGAGTGTGATGTGTGGCATGATTTAGGTGGCTATAAAGATGCGTGCTCCAAAGATACTACGCCAAAAAGTTGCCTTTGGCAGAGGGCTGTGGTGGTCATGTACAGCATCTGCCTCGCTCTCAGCCAGCAGCACCTGAGTGCTGGGAACGTTTCCATTCTTTCTAGGCTTTCATATTTGTCTTCTCAGTGAAGTACTCATCTCTGAAATACATGGTGCATATCTACAAATAGGAGAGAGTGGATTTCTTACTTTTATAAAGAAAATGATAAATCATTACATTTAAGAATGTTGCTGTTAGAACCAAGCTTTTTTTGGATAATTTTTCTCAAAAAAATGTTGCTGAGAAATTGCTTGTTTGGATACTGGACAGTTGATTGTTAATCCCGTTTAATAAATTAACAAATTTATATGAAAACTGATGCTCTTTTCTTTCTGCTCAAGGGAGTTGGCAGGAGCCCTCCTCCATGCTCTTTGGTGTGAGCTGTCACACCCCTGTTTGGGTCAGTGGGTCCATGTGGTGCTTTGGCAGCCTGCCTCCTCCTGTTACTACTTTGCCTTGAAAGCCTTAATGCAGGGCAGGGAAGAGGGAAAGTACCCCTCCTGTTAGACTTGCAAGCTGGATTTGTTGATGCATGTGTTCCAACCTCATGTATCTCTTTAGTAATCACAGAAATGCCTCTTACCCTTCAAAGCAGCAGCGTTGTCACTGCGTGCTCTCACTTTTTCTGATGTGCATCAATAATGGTTTACGTTTTCTGTTTTCTGAGTTTTGCACAGCTGTTTGATGCTCACTCAAGTGGTGCAGCCTGGGCTGTGATGCTATTGGACTGCTTTATCAGGTGTTTTCTCATTGACTCCCCCATCCTTTAGTACATTTAGTTTGGAGTTCTGGGAGTTACTGCATGCTGAATTTCCATCTGAAATCAAAGGCCCAGAGCATCTGTGTGCTCAGCAGCTTTGCAAGTCACGATGTTGCTGGATTCATGCTGTGTCTATAGTGTCAGTGCAGGCAGATGAGTGGCAGGGGAACCTGATGCCTGTGCTCTGAGGCACAGAGGGCGGGTTGAGGGGTCACTAGTGACCTGGCTAAATATAACGGCGAGAGCTATCTTCTGACCCGGGAGACTCAAGATTAGCTCACACTTGATTTCTGGGGGTCATGTGTGGTGTGCAGTCCTTCTGCACCACCCTTCCATTGCTTCATGTGCATATCTGAACAAAATTACTGCTCAGTGGAAGCAAGGAGAGCTATAAATGGAGCTTAAAGCCCAAATTATACCGTCAGCCAGGACAGGAGCTACCTGCTGGTTTGCCCCAAGGGTAGAAGGGGGTAGGCTCTTGGCACCGCCTGGGAACAGAGCTGTAATAGTATCCTGGCAGCTTCCTTGGTGCAGACAAATTATACAACTGTATGGCTTTTATGATGAATGTCTGTGGAAATATGGCAATGCCAATGTCTGGAAGTATTTCACAGATCTGTTTGATTATCTTCTGCTTACAGCTCTAGTAGATGGCCACATATTCTGTCTCCACGGTGGCCTCTCTCCATCCATAGATACACTGGATCATATCAGGGCTCTGGACCGCCTGCAGGAAGTTCCACATGAGGGTCCAATGTGTGATCTGTTGTGGTCGGATCCAGATGATCGTGGCGGCTGGGGTATATCTCCACGTGGTGCCGGCTACACATTTGGGCAAGACATTTCTGAAACATTTAACCATGCCAATGGTCTTACACTGGTTTCCCGTGCTCACCAACTTGTCATGGAGGGTTACAACTGGTGCCACGACCGAAATGTGGTGACCATTTTCAGTGCGCCCAATTACTGCTACCGCTGTGGGAACCAGGCTGCTATCATGGAACTAGATGACACTTTAAAATATTCCTTCCTTCAGTTTGACCCAACACCTCGTCGTGGAGAGCCTCATGTCACCCGTCGTACCCCAGACTACTTCCTATAAACCTCTCATAACTTTTTAGAAGGAAGTATGCCTGGTGTTTTAAAGAGCAACAATATTTACTTGTTTCTGTCAGAAATCGGGGTTCGTCTCTACTTATAATCCCCTTCATGGACCAAAATGTGCCATACTGAGGACAAAGAGCGTTCAGCACAACTTGAGACTGAATTCCTTACAACACTATATATCCTATACCAATCAGTCCAACAGTCAGTTTGCCTGCTGTATTGTAGTCATATTGTAGTCAGATGAAGCCTCCGCCAGGCTGCCAAGTCCTTGTTCCTGTGTAGGTCGCTGTCTCATCCATTACTGTCCTGACCCTGTGGCCACTGCTTCTTGGAGACCCGGGGGCAATTCGCCCTCTGTCTGGCAGCAACTTCTCTGCTTATTTATGGGGTTGTTTGCTCTGACAAATCCCAAACGTGTGTTCAGTTCTTTCCAAGGTTGTGGAGGAGATGCTTGTGTCACCACTGGAGCTTTTCTCACATCAGCCCCTGCCCTGCTCAGGACCCAGCAATACCTGTGGGGCTGCAGCTGTTCCAGTGCTTTGCCAGGCCTCTGGGTGGGGAAATGCGGGCAGTGGATGTCCTTGCTTGTAATACGGATTCCAATCTGCCCATGAGGGGCTAGTGTTACCTTCTGCAGCCTGATCTGTCACAAGGCAAAACCAAGGAAGAAGAAACATCCAGGCAGAAGAACACCTTCAGTACTTAAAGGCTGTGTTGTTTATTCCAACAGCTTATATAGTTTTATCAAACCGTCTTTAACACAAAACATGTCTCCTAAAAGAATGGTGTGAGATCCTACCAGAGATAATCTCAGCTAACAGCTTGCAAAGTTAAGCCTGAATTTCAACAGTCAAAACAGCAAAATGTTTCTCCCTCCCTCCTCCCCCCCTTAACAATACCTTAAAACGCTAAAACCCAAAGGAAGAGATGCTGATGCTGCTGGGTCTGTCAGTGGAGCTCATCCACGTGGGGCTGTGCTTTGGTCCTTCCCAGGGCTGCATGGGTCTGGCCAGAGGTGCAGGGCTGGCAGGTGCCTGCTGCTGCCCGCCCTGGTCCAGAGGCCAGCTCAGGGGTGAGATGCAGGATAAGGGCAGTGCATGGAGAAAACAATCATCTAAACCTCTAACCTACAGAAACAGAATAAATAATAGTCTAAATTTGCAAAGGGGGAAGGTACCTCAGACAGGAAAGTGTATATTATTACTGAAATATTTTTTTCCCATAGGGGAAAATTGCAGCTAAGGCATCTTGAGAATGGCTCATATCACTACAAACACTGCAGTGTTGCTCTAAGTCATCAGGGATGGGAGCAGAAGTCTTTTGGAGGTGCCAGTCCTTGTGCAGTGTCTTGCAGTTCTTGAAACAAAAAGGTTGCAGCAGAGGCATGTGACAGACATCTTGCTGGTCCTGGTTGGCTTTTGTCCACAGATTCAATAACAAATTCTTGCTTAACGTTCACAGCAAGCCCCTCCTGCAGCCCCATCCCACCCCCTGTGCGCTCTCATGGGGAGGATTTGCTCTCTTGCTCCTTTGGTCTTGCTGCAGGGTCTCTCTCAGAAGAGGTGCTGGCTTCTTTGCTCTCTGCAGAAGGGAGGAGTGGGAGGAAAGCACAGTTACAGTCTGCTGAGAACGTGAGTGATCAGGGATCAACCACAGCTGGTTTTATTCAGCTTGCCAGCTGAAGCCCTGTTGCAGCCCACCTGGAGCCAGATATTCAGCTTAAATGTATTGGGTTATCTCATCATGCTCTCAGAGCACAAGCCCTTCTCAAAACAGAGTATCTGGCGATGCTGAGAGGGAACCTCAGTGCTCAAAAGAAAGTGTCAGGACTTTATTTCAGGGTGCATCAATAGAACAGCTCTGAACCAAGAGTCCCTTTCAAAGCAGGAGTGTGTTCTCTGTGTTTAACCTGTAAAGGGCAAGCTGCACATGGGCAGCCTGGCAGGTACCCAGCTTGCTTGCTGCCAGCTGAGATCCAGTTAGTGCTTATTGTAAACAGATGCCCAGACATCGTTTTAGGAGTTACAGCTGGGGTTACACCACACCCCCTCACATACACACTTGATTTTTATGAAGCCAAAGGTGCATCTAATGTGTACAAGGCCCTGAGAAGTCTGTTTCTCAGTGCTTGCTTTGTTAGAACACCAGTACCCCTACAAAGCAACCAAAGACAGGCCCTGGATTTGGTGGCTATGCACTGGGACCATGGCGCTGGTTGCAAAAGATCCTCCCAGGTGTCCCCCACCACACTTGGCTCCCAGGGACTTTGCTTTGCTGTAGTTTCAGGCTGTGCCCACCCAGGCGGGGTGTCCTGAGCCACCCCAGTGCCTGCAGCCCCTCACCTGCCCCTTCGACACCGAGCTCGCCGATGTCCTTGGTCAGCTTGCGCATGCTGATGGTGTTTGCATCCCGCTGGATGTCATGGACAGCGTTCCTCCGGCCAGCCCTGTCGCAGGAAATGAAGTCTGTGTACGTGCTGGACTCTACCTCCATCGCATCTCTATGCTCCTTAAAAATCCTGCAGAGAGAACAGCTTTGAGCTTGAGGGTGCTCGGCCAGCCTTGAGCCATGGCTCTATCTGGGTTAGGTTACTGCACGGAGTTAAATTACAGCATGAAAAAATAGTCCCTGTAACTCCACGCCCTGTCAGAGCAGCTTTTGAACTCTCAGGTAACGAGCTGCTGCTGGCTCTGCTGTCATCAGCTTTGTCACCATGTGCCTGCTGCTCTGGGGAAAGGGGGCTGCCTTAGGTTCAAAGCTCTGCATTTCAGCTTGATGTCAGCTTGGCCTAAGCCCTCCTTCCTCCTCAAATTGCCCTGGGAGCTTTGAATGGAGGCTGAATTTGGCTCTGCGGTGGGAAGGGGTGAACTGACCAGAATTTGTAATCAGGAATAGGGCTCTAGCATGCACTCACCCAAACGGTCCAGGAGCTCGTGAGCTTTGCAGGCACTGGGGTTGCATCAGTGCTGCTGTGTTTGTCACATTCATGTGTCAAGTGAGACAGCTTTGAGAAAAGCAGCACTTTACCCTGTGAAAATCAACCTTACTGCAAGGGTTTTGGATCCCTTTGCCCCCCCTGTGCCAAGCACAGAGTGCAAAGAAAGGCTCACAATGAGCACAAGCCACCAGCCAGCTCCTGGTACAGCCTGATGGGTGTTCAGGGCTTCATTTAGCTGAGGGTTTGGCTTGGCAGCATGCGGTGCGGGGAGCTGGGCAGCTTTGGGAACACACTGCAAGCATCCAGTGCCTGGGTGCCAGCAGGTCACGTGCTGCCTCCGTGCTGGGAATCCGGTGCTCCTGCTTCCTTCTCCTGTTCACTCAGCCTGGCTCCCGGCTTGCTTTTCTGTGTGGAAGTTGGAGATCAGCGGCCCACTTGTTCTGCCCACTGCCCTGCTGGTTTTGTCAGTACTTGGAGAAGGAGCCGATCAGAAACACCGCTAGCTAATGAAAAAAGCGTAACATCTTGCATCCACTTGCTTTTGTGTCACGGCGCTGCTGTCCCACTGAGACATTTGTTCAGCTCCTGCACAAAAGCTGCTCAACACTCATCTGCCTACCGGGGAAGCCGTCTGAACGCACTGGACGACGCACGGACCGAGTGCTCCCGCAGAAGCCACCTGGAGATGGCGCCGGAGCTCCGCGGCAGTGCCCGGTGCTCACGGGGCGGCCCCGCCGGCTCCCGGTGCGCGGCTCTCTGGGCGCTGCCTTTCGCTTCCCCTCGCTTTGCTGCCGCCCGGAGGGGTGATGGAACCGTCGCCACCATTTTCAGGGGAAAACCTGATTTTTTCAAGGAGCGTTTTCACGGTTCCAGGAAGATGCAAAGCATATCGGTAGGGTTTAAATGGGGGAACTGTTAGCATCTGCCATGGACAAGAGGGGCTCCCTGCCTGTGCAGCTCATTTGGAGCAGTGTCACTGTGTATGTCATTGTGTGGCAGCTCCCCACACCCCGCAGTTTCAAGCTCACTCACCGTGCTGAGATAAGCTCTTTCTGCCAAACCTGCTGATTGGCCTCAGCTTATTTTTCCATAATATCTTGTGAGGACGGGAATGAAGCAGGATGTATGGGGCTGCAGCAGTGAGTTCCGCAGGCACAGGTGTGGCACAAGGATGAGATTTGTCGCCTTTGTTTCGGCGACCCTGATTGAAGTCCCCTTGTGAAAGTGTTCCGACAGCCCCGGTCAGTTTCCCACGCTTTTCATGACACCAATATGGTGAGCAGCAAAATGGCGTTAATTGCAAGGAGCACATCCTTCCTAAAACTTTCCCCATGCCTTAGGGCTATTACCGTTATCTCTGACCAATGGACATGTGGCATGTCTTGTTTCCTCCTTATTTGGTCTAACCTGTTCTTCTCTCTTATCTTCAAGACATTTGTTGCCATGGTTTCCCAGGAGCCAAGGGGCCCCTGTAGGCCCTGGAGACTGCCACAGCCCATTCAGTTAACTACAGAGATTCTGCTGCCAGCCCTGGGCTGCAGTCAGAGTCCATCCCCAGGATACCTTTTCGTGAAAGAAGGACACTTTTGAGGTGACTCAGTGCCTCTTTCAAGTGGACAATGGCCTGGAATTACCATGGGAGGCTTAAACTGACGCAGAGCCGTGCACCCATGGAGTAAATGTGGCCTACACCTGAGTCAGAGGGCTCAGATGGACCTGCAGGCACACCCAGCCCTGGACTCCAGTTTAAGGAAGCCCTTCACATGATGCTGTATCCGCCCCTTGCCTAGGTTAAACTGGAAGTTTTTTCTTCTTACCTCAGGCTTTCCTCAGAATTTTGCTCTTCGTCTAACCTGGCTTTGCACAAACTGCAGAAGACTTTTGTGTCAGAGGAAACACTGTTCAGCTCTCTGTGGCACAGGTGGCACGACATGGTAAAGGGTGCCTTCAAGTTCTGCTTGGATATCCTCACCCCTAGGGCAGCCAGCACAGCACAGCAGGGGCTGTAAGGGAGGAGGTGGGAAGGTTCAACACAGCAGTGGCTTCTTGGCATCGCTTGGCCCCAAGAACCACCTGAGCCCACCTTGTTTCCCTTTACAGAGTGGGGAATGGGGCCATATCTTTCTTCCTAAACACCCAGGCAATGGGCAGCATGGAGCAGCCTGTGCCTACCACTGATTCTGGAGCCACACAAAGATGTCTCCATTCCTGTGGCACCTGAGGATCATCCCAATGACCACAGCCAGCAAGGGCTGGCAGAGGGATGTTAAGCCCAAGTCCTGAGGGACAGGAGCCCCACACTTACATCTCTGCTGCTGCTGCTGCTGCTGCTGCTGCTGCTGCTGCTGCTGCTGCTGTCCGTTGCAAATGACCGTTGGGGCCAACAGCTCTGTGCCTATGGCTGGGCTCTGGCTGGAACAGGATCTCTGACCCACAAGGCCAGCTCCTGCTCTCTTGGTGTCCAAGCCAAGGATCAAACTGCTGCCTTTTGCCCCTGGGAAGCATAAAGCCCCCAAAGCCAATCTAAACCTGGCTGTGTTTCTGGGTTGAAATTTCCACCTTTTACCAAAGATCAGCAGGGGAAGAGGGGTTGACCCTTTTCTTCTGTTTAAGCATCACATCCCACATCTCCCTGTACTGCAGACCTGCATGGACAAGGGCACAGAGCATTTCGGTGCCTTCAAGCTCTCCATGCTGTGTCTCTCCCCCTTTCATTCCTGGGTACCTGGGCTATTATTAGCGCAGTCCTGCTGGGGACAGATCCATAACAACAGCAAAACACACCCAGTATCCCTGCTGGGCTTGTAAAATATTTACAGCGTAAGACAGTTCGCTGTAGAGGGAGCCTGGTAGAGCACAGAGGCAGCAGCATCAGGATCTCTGTGCTCCCTGTGGTCTGCTGCGAGGTTCCCCGCTGTGAGATCCTCATCCAGCTGAGAGGGAAAAAATCCCACAGGGCAGAAGTCAGCACTTGAGGTCAGGGGGTTTCCACCAACTGTCTGACAGCTTCCAGATGGAATTTCAGTGAATTTTCCATGGCCTCTGGTCTGGGAACATGCATGAGAAGTTGCACATCAAAGCAGGAGGGCTCCATGGCTGGGTTATCAGGATTAGGGAGTATTTTTAGACCTGTGCCAGTGCCTACCAGACCTCTCCATGGCCCAAGACCCTCCCATGCACTTGAGCTTAGGTTAGTGCCAGAAACTGGGTGATGCTGTTTGACATCACAGCATCTCCATGCACTGCAAGAATTCAAGAACAGAACTTTTAGGGTTCTCCAGAACTTGGTGGAAAAATGTCATTCACGTAGCAGGGGAGGATTTACAGCAGGGAGATGGAGGCTTGGTGTGTAAAGCAGATCCAAAGTTTACTTTGGTCTTATTTTGCAGTATGAAGATCATTTGAGCACTGGTAACTCACTACTTAGCCTATGATTTAACGTTTGGCTTGGGCTCCTGTAGGGGTTAGGACCTGACACACCTTGTGTTTAGCTTCTCCCTCCTTTCTGCCCTTCAGCATGTCCTGGCCACAGGGACCCACACCCCTGTCCCTGCTGTCCCACAGTACCTCTGCAGCTCCAGCCCCCCTGTTCATCACCTGGCTCCCAGCAGACACAGGAGATGCCCTGGCAGGGTTTCACAGTGTCAGACAACCCCTAGGACCCAGGGCAGGCTGACATGCTGCAGCAGTCCCAGGGGAGCAGGGAACACTACTCAGCTCCCCCCAGCACACACTGACACCGCTTCATTAGCATCACTCAGTGCTGGCCTGGCTCACGCTCCAGCCTCACGTTGGCTGCACAAGGATGCCAGTTGTTATCCTCCACTATGGGAAACATCACAGTGTTCCTTGACAACTGAGCTTTTCCAGGGCTCCTCCCTCCCCTCAGCATCCAAACCTCATCTGCATTATGAGCCTCTTCTGCAGCTTCTCACCATGTTGATTAATGGAAATAATTGGTCTCTCCGTGCATCTGGAGACAGTTGCCGTGACAGCAATTGTATTTGTGTTTGGTTCCCAGGTCGAGCTTGTTTTCCACATCCCACAGCTTCATGGTGTCCCCGTGGTGGGCAGCCACAGGGTGCAGGGAGACAGAGCCTGGACAGCCCCCAAATGTGCAGGGTTAGTGACTTCCAGCATCTCTGTTGGGGCAGAGCTGGAGTACCCTAAAAGTGCCTTTCCAGCAAAGGGAGCTGAGCCAGATTTGGGGCAGGTACAGAGCCTGTCCTAGGCTATGTGAGCTGGTGTCTACCCTTCCCATTTTCCCCTCCCAAAGCTCATCCTGATGTGGGAGGACATGGCTCTGCATAAAGCAGCCCAGAGCCCACCCATGCACTTTTACCCTTGGCACTCTTCAGTGCTGCAAAGTGCTAGCTCCACCCCACCACTATTTTTATTCTCACTTTCTCCCAACCTCTTGTCTAACTGCCTTTATATGTGAAATTGCTTTTATGCGAGCAAAACCATCGCTGTGCGGAAGATCTGCTAAGGAGTGAAATTTCAAAACAGAGTAATAGCAGGCACTTTAAACTCTTCAGCTGTAGCAGTCTCACAGCTGCTGCTGTAGCCACCTCTAGAAAAACCTGTGCGTTGTTCCCACCTGTAATGGGCACAGAAACCCCCTCTGCCCCCTCCAGCATGGCTGGGCCATTTGGATCCCCCCAGTCTCCTCTCCCCGGGAAAAAAAAAAAGTCCCTGCTTTCACTTCATCTTTCCAGCAAAGGCTGGAAAGTACCCAACAGTCCCACAGCTCTTTGGATTCCACCAGGTGCCACCACCTCCCAGGCTGTGTCTGGGATGTGCCCAGCACCCTGCGGGCTGCCCAGGTGAGAAAATACTGGTGAGCCTGGGAGAGATGAGATGCAGCTAGAGCCTGCAGGGCTGCCCTTGTGTATAAAGGGAGCTGGAGAGAAAGCAGCTGCTGGAGAGATAGTTCTGTTTTGTTGGAGGTCATTGCTGCTGGGTGGGGCCTTTCTACGAACATGGAGGTATGTAGGGCTGGTGGTTTTTATGGTATGATGGTGCTGGCAGGGAGGCCCAAGCCCAGCTCTGCCCTGGCCCTGCCTGATCCACCTGTGCAGCCCACAGGATGTTATGCTCACACTGCACCTCATGCCCACCTCCATAAGCCAGTATGACAGGCTCCACAGCCTCCTTAGGGAAAGGGCCCTGTCTGCTTCCCTAGCAATAAACCAGGACAGTCTTATACTGGAATGAGGTGGGCTAATTAGAAAAATGGGCTCAGCTCTGCTCCCTGGGGTGTGTTTGACCTGTTATTTGTGCTGCTGCTTGGAGGAAAATCACTTGTGTAGCTCACAGGGTTGGCATACTGCTTGCTGACAGTTCAAGTGGGATGTGCAGGAGTTCCAAACAAGTTTGCAGGGAGAGCTGAGCCCTTCCACATGGTTCCACATCTCCCCTCACCCAAAGCAGCAGTCCTGGTGCTGTGCTGCCTTGCTTAGCTCCCACCTGAACAGAGCTTCACCTGTCCTTGTGCACATACCTCACAGCATTGCTG